CCTGTGAGCGTGTGTGTTACCTGTGAGCGTGTGTGTTACCTGTGAGCGTGTGTGTGTTACCTGTGAGCGTGTGTTACCTGTGAGCGTGTGTGTTGTTTACCTGTGAGCGTCGTGTGTGTTACCTGTGAGCGTGTGTGTTACCTGTGAGGCGTGTGTGTTACCTGTGAGCGTGTGTGTTACCTGTGAGCGTGTGTGGTTACCTGTGAGCGCGTGTTACCTGTGAGCGTTTGTGTGTTACCTGTGAGCGTGTGTGTTACCTGTGAGCGTTGTGTGTGTTACCTGTGAGCGTGTGTGTTACTGTGAGCGTGTGTGTGTTACCTGTGAGCGCGTGTGTGTTACCTGTGAGCGTGTGTGTGTTACCTGTGAGCGTGTGTGTGTTACCTGTGAGCGTGTGTGTGTTACCTGTGAGGCGTGTGTGTGTTACCTGTGAGCGTGTGTGTTACCTGTGAGCGTGTGTGTTACTTGTGAGCGTGTGTACCGTGAGCGTGTGTGTTACCTGTGAGCGTGTGTGGTACCTGTGAGCGGTGTGTTTACCTGTGAGCGTGTGTGTTACTGAGAGCGTGTGTGTTACCTGTGACGGCGTAGTGGGTGTTACCTGTGAGCCGTGTGTGTTACCTTGTGAGCGCGTGTGTGTTACCTGTGAGCGTGTGTGTGTTACCTGTGACCGTGTGTGTGTTACCTGTGAGCTGTGTGTGTTACCTGTGAGCGTGTGTGTGTTACCTGTGAGCGTGTTGTTACCTGTGAGCGTGTGTGTTTACCTGTGAGCGTGTGTGTTACCTGTAGCGTGTGTGTTACCTGTGAGCGTAGTGTGTTACCTGTGAGCGTTTGGTGTGTGTTACCTGTGTGCGTGTGTGGTTACTTGTGAGCGTGTGTGTGTTACCTGTGAGCGTGTGTGTTACTTGTGAGCTGTGTGTGTTACCTGTGAGCGTGTTCGTGTGTTACCTGTGAGCGTCGTGTGTTACCTGTGAGCGTGTGGTGTGTTACCTGTGACCGTGTGTGTTACTTGTGAGTGTGTGTGTTACCTGTGAGGTGTGTGTTACCTGGGACCGTGTGTTGACCTATGAGCGTGTGTGTGTACCTGTGACCGTGTGTGTTACCTGTGACCGTGTGTGTGTTACCTTGTGACGTGTGTGTTACCTGTGACCGTGTGTGTGTTACCTGTGAGCGTGTGTGTGTTACCTGTGAGCGTGTGTGTTACCTGTGAGTCGCGTGTGTGTTACCTGTGAGCGTGTGTGTTACCTGTGAGCGTGATGTGTTGAGCGTGTGTGTGTTACCTGTGAGCGTGTGTGTTACCTGTGAGCGTGTGTGTGTTACCTGTGAGCGTGTGTGTTACCTGTGAGCGTGTGTGTGTTACCTGTGAGCGCGTGTGTGTTACCTGTGAGCGTGTGTGTGTTACCTGTGAGCGTGTGTGTGTTACCTGTGAGCGTGTGTGTGTTACCTGTGAGCGTGTGTGTGTTACCTGTGAGCGTGTGTGTTACCTGTGAGCGTGTGTGTTACTTGTGAGCGTGTGTGTTACCTGTGAGCGTGTGTGTTACCTGTGAGCGTGTGTGTTACCTGTGAGCGTGTGTTACCTGTGAGCGTGTGTGTTACTTGAGAGCGTGTGTGTTACCTGTGACCGTGTGTGTTACCTGTGACCGTGTGTGTTACTTGTGAGTGTGTGTGTTACCTGTGAGCGTGTGTGTTACCTGTGACCGTGTGTGTTACCTGTGAGCGTGTGTGTTACCTGTGAGCGTGTGTGTGTTACCTGTGAGCGTGTGTGTTACCTGTGAGCGTGTGTGTGTTACCTGTGAGCGTGTGTGTTACCTGTGAGCGTGTGTGTTACCTGTGAGCGTGTGTGTTACCTGTGAGCGTGTGTGTTACCTGTGAGCGTGTGTGTTACTTGTGAGCGTGTGTGTGTTACCTGTGAGCGTGTGTGTTACTTGTGAGCGTGTGTGTGTTACCTGTGAGCGTGTGTGTTACCTGTGAGCGCGTGTGTTACCTGTGAGCGTGTGTGTGTTACCTGTGACCGTGTGTGTTACTTGTGAGTGTGTGTGTTACCTGTGAGCGTGTGTGTTACCTGTGACCGTGTGTGTTACCTATGAGCGTGTGTGTTACCTGTGACCGTGTGTGTGTTACCTGTGACCGTGTGTGTTACCTGTGACCGTGTGTGTGTTACCTGTGACCGTGTGTGTGTTACCTGTGACCGTGTGTGTGTTACCTGTGAGCGTGTGTGTTACCTGTGACCGTGTGTGTGTTACCTGTGACCGTGTGTGTGTTACCTGTGACCGTGTGTGTGTTACCTGTGAGCGTGTGTGTTACCTGTGAGCGTGTGTGTTACCTGTGAGTGTGTGTTACCTGTGAGTGTGTGTGTTACCTGTGACCGTGTGTGTGTTACCTGTGAGCGTGTGTGTTACCTGTGAGCGTGTGTGTTACCTGTGACCGTGTGTGTGTTACCTGTGAGCGTGTGTGTTACCTGTGAGCGTGTGTGTTACCTGTGACCGTGTGTGTGTTACCTGTGACCGTGTGTGTGTTACCTGTGACCGTGTGTGTGTTACCTGTGAGCGTGTGTGTGTTACCTGTGAGCGTGTGTGTTACCTGTGAGTGTGTGTTACCTGTGAGCGTGTGTGTTACCTGTGACCGTGTGTGTGTTACCTGTGAGCGTGTGTGTTACCTGTGAGCGTGTGTGTGTTACCTGTGAGCGTGTGTGTTACCTGTGACCGTGTGTGTGTTACCTGTGAGCGTGTGTGTTACCTGTGACCGTGTGTGTGTTACCTGTGAGCGTGTGTGTTACCTGTGAGCGTGTGTGTGTTACCTGTGAGCGTGTGTGTGTTACCTGTGAGCGTGTGTGTTACCTGTGAGCGTGTGTGTTACCTGTGAGCGTGTGTGTTACCTGTGAGCGTGTGTGTTACTTGTGAGCGTGTGTGTGTTACCTGTGAGCGTGTGTGTGTTACCTGTGAGCGTGTGTGTTACCTGTGAGCGCGTGTGTTACCTGTGAGCGTGTGTGTGTTACCTGTGACCGTGTGTGTTACTTGTGAGTGTGTGTGTTACCTGTGAGCGTGTGTGTTACCTGTGAGCGCGTGTGTTACCTGTGAGCGTGTGTGTTACCTGTGAGCGTGTGTGTGTTACCTGTGACCGTGTGTGTTACTTGTGAGTGTGTGTGTTACCTGTGAGCGTGTGTGTTACCTGTGACCGTGTGTGTGTTACCTGTGACCGTGTGTGTTACTTGTGAGTGTGTGTGTTACTTGTGAGCGTGTGTGTGTTACCTGTGAGCGTGTGTGTTACCTGTGAGCGTGTGTGTGTTACCTGTGAGCGTGTGTGTTACCTGTGACCGTGTGTGTGTTACCTGTGAGCGTGTGTGTTACCTGTGACCGTGTGTGTGTTACCTGTGAGCGTGTGTGTTACCTGTGAGCGTGTGTGTGTTACCTGTGAGCGTGTGTGTGTTACCTGTGAGCGTGTGTGTTACCTGTGAGCGTGTGTGTTACCTGTGAGCGTGTGTGTTACCTGTGAGCGTGTGTGTTACTTGTGAGCGTGTGTGTGTTACCTGTGAGCGTGTGTGTGTTACCTGTGAGCGTGTGTGTTACCTGTGAGCGCGTGTGTTACCTGTGAGCGTGTGTGTGTTACCTGTGACCGTGTGTGTTACTTGTGAGTGTGTGTGTTACCTGTGAGCGTGTGTGTTACCTGTGAGCGCGTGTGTTACCTGTGAGCGTGTGTGTTACCTGTGAGCGTGTGTGTGTTACCTGTGACCGTGTGTGTTACTTGTGAGTGTGTGTGTTACCTGTGAGCGTGTGTGTTACCTGTGACCGTGTGTGTGTTACCTGTGACCGTGTGTGTTACTTGTGAGTGTGTGTGTTACTTGTGAGCGTGTGTGTGTTACCTGTGAGCGTGTGTGTTACCTGTGAGCGTGTGTGTGTTACCTGTGAGCGTGTGTGTGTTACCTGTGACCGTGTGTGTGTTACTTGTGAGCGTGTGTGTGTTACCTGTGAGCGTGTGTGTGTTACCTGTGACCGTGTGTGTTACTTGTGAGTGTGTGTGTTACTTGTGAGCGTGTGTGTGTTACCTGTGAGCGTGTGTGTTACCTGTGAGCGCGTGTGTTACCTGTGAGCGTGTGTGTGTTACCTGTGACCGTGTGTGTTACTTGTGAGTGTGTGTGTTACCTGTGAGCGTGTGTGTTACCTGTGACCGTGTGTGTTACCTGTGAGCGTGTGTGTTACCTGTGACCGTGTGTGTTACCTGTGACCGTGTGTGTGTTACCTGTGAGCGTGTGTCTTACCTGTGAGCGTGTGTGTTACCTGTGAGCGTGTGTGTGTTACCTGTGACCGTGTGTCTTACCTGTGAGCGTGTGTGTGTTACCTGTGAGCGTGTGTGTTACCTGTGACCGTGTGTGTTACCTGTGAGCGTGTGTGTTACCTGTGACCGTGTGTGTTACCTGTGACCGTGTGTGTGTTACCTGTGACCGTGTGTGTGTTACCTGTGACCGTGTGTGTGTTACCTGTGACCGTGTGTCTTACCTGTGAGCGTGTGTGTTACCTGTGAGCGTGTGTGTGTTACCTGTGAGCGTGTGTGTTACCTGTGAGTGTGTGTGTTACCTGTGAGTGTGTGTGTTACCTGTGAGCGTGTGTGTTACCTGTGAGTGTGTGTGTTACCTGTGAGTGTGTGTTACCTGTGAGCGTGTGTGTTACCTGTGAGCGTGTGTGTGTTACCTGTGAGCGTGTGTGTGTTACCTGTGAGCGTGTGTGTTACCTGTGAGTGTGTGTTACCTGTGAGCGTGTGTGTGTTACCTGTGAGCGTGTGTGTTACCTGTGAGTGTGTGTGTTACCTGTGAGTGTGTGTGTTACCTGTGAGTGTGTGTGTTACCTGTGAGTGTGTGTGTTACCTGTGAGCGTGTGTGTTACCTGTGAGTGTGTGTTACCTGTGAGCGTGTGTGTTACCTGTGAGCGCCTGTGTTACCTGTGACCGTGTGTTACTTGTGAGCGTGTGTGTTACTTGTGAGCGTGTGTGTTACTTGTGAGCGTGTGTGTTACCTGTGAGTCTTCAGGTGGTACTTCAGGTGCGCAGGATAGGTAAAGGTGCGCTGGCAGTTCTCATACGGACATCGGTGGATCTTCTCTGACGGCGAGCAAACGACTCGAGGAACCTGATCTTTTTTAGGCCCCTCTGATTGACAGCTGTGAATGTGGTCACCTAGGCAACAGCAGAGAGTGACAGGTCAGGAATCGAATACTTGTTATAAAATTTAAATTTCGATTCCTCTAATCGATTCCTCAGTGAACATTTCAATATGACTTTAAACCATTCAAGCGTGAGAGACTGTGTTCGTGTGTATCAGTGTATTGGACCCGCAGCTCTTAAAGTGACAGCACTAATATTCCTGCAGCGTCTCTATAATAACACTAATCACACAACAAAATTCACTCGTTCTTGACTTAATCACTTTTGTAACGATATTTGTAATGTATATTTTATTTATAAAGTGCAGTGATATTTTACATTTGATTATGTACCTGAACACCTGAAAATCTTAAAACACTGTTTATTTCAATCGTATCTTTGTTCAGTTGTATCTATGTTTCGATTGCTAATTTTTTTATTTAATATTTGTTCTTTTTTAATTACTGGGTGTCTTTAATAATGCTGGAAGTGTACATTAGTTTGGCTAGTTGTTCTTCTGGTGTTTTTAAACCACAGGCAAACGCTCCTTGTGTAAGTGTTCTTCAGCTGATGATTTCTGCTCATGATAAATGCAAATGAAATCTAACTTTTTTTTTAGCTTATTGGAATCGAAATTAGGAATCGATAAGAATTGGAACCGTTAAAATTTAGAAACTTAGTTTAGAAATGTTAGGAAAATAAGTGAGTGAGTGAGTGAGTGAGTGTGAGAGTGTGTGAGTGAGAGTGTGTGAGTGAATGAGAGTGTATGAGTGAGTGACTGTGTGTG